CACACACACACACACACACACACAGTCCACACACACACACACACACACCTCTATGGGAATTTAAAGCAAGAGTCAGCATTTTCCCGCCCCATTCACACACACTTCGGTAGGATGGAAAATGTGTGTATTGACCTCATCAGTTCTCCTTATTAAGGACAAACACATTCAGCGCTTCGGGGGTCAGAGGGGACTGAGCCTGGCGTAACACCCTTAACCTTCTCAGACAGCTTCCGAGCCACCGCCATTCGGCTCCACAGAGCAGAGCCTTCCCAACTGACCACACAGACCTTGCTCCCAGGAAAGCAGCTCACTCTAATGCCAAGGGCAGAGCACAGTTGGCTGTCTGCAAGTGAAAGGAGCACCACACTCGGCTTCCTCTGCATCTCTGGCTGCCAGGGACGCCCCACACACCCTTCTCAGCCTGACTGCGCACGTCTGCATGACTGCTCTCACAGAGGAAGGCTCAGAATGGATAGAAATGAAGTCGCTCACCGGGCGCTGGTGGCTCACTCCTGTAATTCTAGCTACTCAGGAGGCTGAGATCTGAGGATCGTGGTTCAAAGCCAGCCCGGGCAGGAAAGGCCGTGAGACTCCTATCTCTGATAAAACCACTTGAAAACTGGAAGTGGTGCTGTGGCTCAAGTGGTAGAGCGCTCGCCGTGAGCTGAAGAGCTAAGGGACAGCGCCCAGGGCCAAAGTTCAAGCCCCACGACCGACAAAAAAAAAAGAAATGAAATTACTCAGATACTGTGAGACAGTTCTCCTCAAAACCCTGCAAAACCCAGATATGTTTACATTCTAGAATGTGCCATGAGCTGAGGCAAAATTTCACCAGTGGCTCACACCTGTAATCATAACTATTCAAGAAGCTAAGATCTGAGGATCGAGGTTCAAAGCCAGTCCAAGCATGAAAGTCCTGTGAGACGCTTATCTCCTATTAACTATAAAAAGTAACAGAAACAAACAAAAAAACCACTGGAACTGGAGCTGTGACTCAAGTGCTAGCCTTGAGCACAAAGAGGCTCAGGGACATCACCCAGGCCCTACGTTCAAGCCCCAGGACTGGCACAATAAAAGGGGCAAAGACAAAAGAAGATGAAAATCCATGCGTCCCCTGCACCAACCCTGGGACCGTGGACCAGCTCCTCCCACTCCCTCTGTGCCTCTGGCCGCCGCCTCAATCCAGCCTCAGCTGTGGCTTGTTTCTTCTACTGCTCTCCACAGAAAATGTGTTTGTTCCAGGCTCTAGATGGTGCCGCTGCTATCCACGCAAACAGAGGGAAGAGGCAGGTCTGGCCAGGGTAGGGAGAAGTAGGCAGAACTCAAGCATCAGATGTGAAGGTAAGTCAGAACAAAGGCAGGTCAGCACCACCCTCCTCACACTTCACCATCTCTCTCTGGGCTGCCTTCAGCCCCCTTACGAGGTCCAGAGGTGTGTGATGACCCAGGGTAGAGGGCCATGGACTGCGACTGTCACCAGGCCCCCCTGACGGTAAAGTCGGGGATCCCACGCTTCCCGTGCTGCCTGTCATCGCATCCACCCAGGCTCACCCTCCAGACCCAGAGCGAAGCTCCTCAGCAGGTGGGAACTCCCAACTGTTTAAGCCAGCACAGCAGCGTAGGTAAAAACCCTGCTCTGCTCCTGTATCGGCTGCGATGTGCTGTGATAAAGAACCCAGAGGCCTGGGCTAGAAATCAGTCCATATTCACGGAATATCTTTCAACACAAAATATGAGAGAAAAACACAAACGTTCTGGGGCAAAACAAGGAAGGTTGTGTAAATATTCAGCAAGAGAAAGAACTGAACTGGCTCCAAAGAGACATCTGTGTTAACAGCTCTCAGGAGGCTGTGGTTTGCAGTGGGAAAGAAAACAACAGCCCGGATTCTGATTCCACTCTCACGTGCATTTATTGGGCACCTCTGGCATCCAACTCTAAATGTTTTCCCTGAAACATGAGAGTTTACTACTCACTTGAGCCATTTGCAAAGGGCCAAACTCAAATAAACTTGCTTTCCTTACCATTAAAGTGTTGCACTTTTATTCCAAACAACAGAAACTCAGCAACAGTGTTAATAGTTGAGATAAAAATCCAGATTTATTTTGCTTCTAGGTTACCTAATATGGTAAAAATGGATTGCTGACTGTGCCTAGGACTTCAGACTCTGGTATTAATCAAAAGACTAAGTGTTGGTATTCCAAAGAAAATAAGCTATAGATTGGAAAGTATGGTTTCTGTGAAGTTACCTTCATGGATGACATTGGGAAAAGATCATCTTTTTCCAGACCTGATACCTCAGGGTGGATCGCATGGTTCACAGGACCCCCGGGGGCCAATTATCTGCCTAGAGCTCTCCCCTGAAGGGCTCCACTGCGCACTCAACGTCACAGCCGTTCCTCCCAGTTGCCTCGGAAGGCTGGGACTGAGCGTGTCCCCTGAGATGAATGCCGTCTGTCTTGTGGAGCAGCCCGCCCACTGGCTTGCCCCCTGCTGCCCCTGGGCTGCACTGTGGGCACTGCGGGTCCTTCCACAGTCCACAGGACTGTCCTCCATCAGTTTATGCTATCACAAAATGGCAATATGTTCCGAGGTCCAGGCCATGGTGTTTAATCATGTTTGCCATGTGTAATATTATCTATGAACTGTTAACCACTGAACATGTAAACTCATGCTACTAATTTTAATGTGACTGTTTGCTTTTATCTGCTACTTGATGCACTATCACATGTTGTACTCCTAACCCATTTCCTTTGCTAGCCCTATAGTTTTTATTATGTGATTTTATATGGCAAAGAGATGTTTTTTGTTTTTTTTTGTTTTGTTTTGTTTGTTGGGTCCGGTCGTGGGGCCTGAGCTCTGGGCGCTGTCCCTCAGCTCTTCAGCTCAAGGCTAGCGCTCTACCACTGAGCCACCTTCCCAGCCCGAGATGTTTAAGATGTATGTTATGTTAGTGTAGAATGCTACAATAAGAAATGGCATTTTGGGTAACTAATGGCTGAATAATAAGTGTATGTGATCAGTATTACCAAGAAGCACACCCTTGCAACAAAAACCTCATTGCAGAGCCCACGAATTTATGTAGGGAGTCAGTGATGACTCCTGGTGGTCATGTCCCTAATTACAGATAAAACATGAAAAAAAGTGATACACATTTCAAGATGGATTTTTAACTGTTATAGCATGAACTAAGCCATCGCATAAGCCAAATACAATGTATGCCTGGCTGGGTGCCAGTGACTGCTGCCTGTAACCCTAGCAATTCAGGATGCTGAGATCTGAGGAATGTGGGTTGAAGCCAGCCTGGGAAGGAAGGTTTGTAAGATTCTTATCTCCAATTAAGCATCACCCTCACCCACATATATGTGTGTGTATCTCTGTCTGTCTATCTGTCTGTCTATTTCTATGTCTATGTACCTCCCCTCCCCTTTCCTAAGTTTTAGCAGGCTCTAGTTTCATGACATGTTCATTGAAGGGTTTCCTCCCTATAGTCAAAGCAGGAACTATATTCAAACGATAGTCAACTATAGGAACTATAGTCAAAGAAGGAACGCCACAAACCTGTCATTGAGTTTTCCGAGGTGCACAGCTGCTCTCTCAGCTTCTCCACATCATCTGGATGCACTTGTTCATAGAGGGTGCTTCCAAACCACTCTGACTGGGGTTGGTTCAGAACAGGGGTGACAGAATCTGACACATAAATCACTCGTCCTGTCTCAGCAGCCACTACAAACAGAAATCCATCCGCTGCTTCAAGGATGAGGTGCTTTAGCTCCTGTGAAAAAAAGACTGTGATTAGCACTGAAGTCTTGCTACAGAACACCGTAAGGGCCTGCTGAGCAGGGGAAAGTCCCTGTTGTCTGTTCACTGATCTGTCTGGATCTTGGTCTAGGACCCAAAGCCTGGAAGACGTGAATGTGCTAGAAGCAGAGCCTGAGGAGCCTGTCAATGTTTCCAAGCATTTTACTGGGTATGAGTTCAAATATCTTCAGCCCGGGAAACTGGGGTAAGAGCAGACTAAAAGCATTTTCAAAAGAAAGGTTTGCGGTGCTCATTTCCCCTATTTTGCATTAGTGCTGTTCTGTGTCTTGAGGTGCTTACTCAGATCTAAGGACTGGGTCAGCACTTTTATTCTCAGTGTCAGGAAAATCCTCCCAATAAACCTGTTTGTAAAATAATAGAGCAGTATGTCTGGGAAAGTAGAGAAGTCTCTGTCACGGGAGGAGGTCAGATGGCTTCATCTATGCACTCATGTTCTCGTTTGTTTGCAGAGCCCTGCCCGCTTCACAGACCCTCCTTCCACGGTTCATCTTCTGGGAGGATCTCTGTCTTCTTCCTCCAGTTAAAACACGGCTGAGAGCAGGGGACTGTTGGGGTCTCCTTGCAGAGCAAAGTTAGGCATGGAGGTTAATGTCCTCCGCCCCTGGTCGTTTTGTGAGGCGAGTAAATAAGCGCGTGTATGTGAAGACACACCGTACTAGCTCCACAGTAACACACGTTCCGATCCTCACACATGAAAGCGAGGCAGGATCACTCAGTAACACCACGGCAGTGAGGCTGCTGCTTTCTCCCTCCACTCTAGTTTTGTCCCTCAACTGTAGTCACTTAGAAGCAGATTCAAGTATTGGCCCTGTAGGATTTTTTCTAAGGATTAAAGAAATATAGAGGGAAAAATAAACCTTCTTACTGATCCTTGCAACAGCAGTGCTTAATAAATTTCTGTCTGGTTGCCTACCAGTTGTTAATCTTTCATGGTCTACGTGGTGGCCTTCCTCAGCAAGTCTGCTGGAGCTGGAGTCTATCATGACATTGTTTTTGGAGGTAGAAGTCCATGCTCTAAAGGACCATGCTCCATGTCCTTCCAGGGCTTATGTGACCACGGTCATATCTTCCTGGCCTCTAAGGGTCACATGTAAGGGTGACATGACCACTGGGAAGGATTTAAAAGAGACCAAGTAGGTAAAGCATTTGCCACCAAACAGACAGCGATAAATACTGGCTCTTCTAACCGGCTCCCATGACCCGTGTGGCGTCTCAGCTCCAGGAGAATAAATGATTCGGCACTGGGCCTTCTTTGCTCCTCCCTGAGGCTCTGCCCCTCCCTTTAATGAACAGTATGTGGCTCCTCTGTGTCATCTTGAGCAGTACCCTTGATGAAACTGGGCCACTTCTGCTCCACATCATTTTGGCCTCACATTCTGTCTTCTTAAACACTCACCACCAAACATTCTGTACTATACACACTTTGCACGTCCTAACTACATCTCTGATGAGCATATGATTTCACCTTTTCCTTTTCTACCACATGCAAAGTGTTTCAAATCTATCATCTCACTCATCCTAGAAAAGGTCTTGAAATCAGGGCTGGGAAGGTGGCTCAGTGGTAGAGCGCTTGCCTTGCATGCATGAGGCCCTGGGTTCGATTCCTCAGCACCACATAAGCAAAAAGAAAACATCTGGAAGTGGTGCTGTGGCCCAAGTGGTAGAGCGCTAGCCTTGAGCTGAAGAGCTGAGGGACAGGGCCCAGGCCCTGAGTTCAAGCCCCACGACTGGACCCCCCCCAAAAAAAGAAAAGGTCTTGAAATCAGAAAATCAAGAAGATTCACATTCATCATACACAAGGGCTAACTGGGGCTTGGCGCATTGCCGATATGGTCCTATGACCAACACATGGAAGGCCAGACTGAATACAGGCTCACGCACGTGTGTGTGTGTGCGTGTGTCTGTGCGGGTGTGTGCATACGCGCGTGCATGTGTGTGCGCGTGTGTATGCATGTGTGCGCGTGCGTTTGTGTGTGCGCGTGCGTTTGTGTGTGCGCGTGCATGTGTGTGCGCATGCATGTGTGTGCGCATGTGTGTGTGCGTTTGTATGCACGTGTGTGCGTGCGTTTGTGTGCGCATGTGTGCATGTGTGTGTGTGTGCGTGCATGTGTGTGTGCGTGTGTGGTTTCCGCCACTTCTTCCTGGGTCACTGCTGACTGAGCACACTAATGAGTGTGAGGACAGCTTTTAGAGACGCCGCATCAAGGTGTATGGGAATTATAAACTCAAGTGAGGGAAAGGTGCGAGCTCTGAAGACAGCTCCCTTCTGAGGAGTGGAGGTGGCGTTTCTTGGCTTCATCCCTTCCTTGTCCCTCACCCCACCTATCTCGCTCCGTGTGGTGAGCTGCAGCGCCCCAGCGCGGCGGCTGCCGTCTTCAGAGGGCGTGCGGGTACCTGCTCGGTGAGGAAGGAAGGCTTGTACGCCCCGTCTGTGGACTTGTTCCCTGTGCCTCGCATGGACTTCATGTGTGAGACGGCCATGCGGAGGATGGTGAGCTTGTCCGGTTTCCGGGCCAGCGCGCTGCAGGTGGGGACCATGTCTGAGAGCTCCGTGATGTACTGGGTCATCTTGTTCCGTCTGCGCCGCTCAATCTCACTGTGATTCTCTCTTCCCATAAGGCACACAGTCAGGAGGGGAGAAGGGAGAAGCATCAGACCAAGGTCACCCTCTAACGGGGATAACACCAAGTGAGCCAGGCGTTAACTTTGCACAGCTCAGTGGGTACGTGCTGGGCAGGGGGCACCTGAGGCCTCTGCAGGCTCTGTCCATGGACACGGTCTCCACTGCCCTCAGCCCTCGCCTTTCTACAGTGCAGTCTTGTAAGCACCTCCATGGACCTAGGGATGTTTGAATAGGTATGAAAATTTTACACACCCCCCTTTGCCAAGTGAACACAGTGTGTTCAGTGGGTGCACATGAATCTATACAGGGGTGGGCACAAGTACACATGCACACAGAGGTGAAATTACTGACTGGCTCCACAGGTGGTCGCATACTCAGGGTCAGAAGCGCTATATAGAACAGCCCTGGGCTTAAGACTTTTTTAAGCTATAATGCCGTAGAAGTGGTCCACATGCAACAAAAATTAAAATGTGCTTGAATGTATATTAATAATACATTGATGGGTGAGAACCCATACAACCATTCTATTTTTAATTTCCAGAACAGTATTCAGTGAGTCACATCAGATACTAGGACTTCATGAATACGTGTTATGCTAGGTAATTTTGCTACAAACCAATGTAAGTATCTAAGCCTGTGAAAAGCAGGCTAGGTTACCTATCATGTCTGGTAGGTCAGATGTGTTAAATGTATTTTCATTTCAATTTAAAATAGGTTTTGCAAGATATACCACATCATAAAACAGGAGCATCCATATAGCCTTACTATTTCCTTTTAGGTATTTAACTACACTAGTAATGGCACAAATTCACTTTACATAATGTAGTAAGAAGGCTTTTATTCTAGTCCCAGTACATTTTCTAAAGCATAGTAACAGAACAGTGTGCCTTGGCTTATTAAACAATAATAACCAATTTTTAAAAAGCACCCTTAGGAATTGCTGGACCCAATCTCTGTAATGTATTAAAATGAAAAACTAACAGAAGGGCTGGTAGAATGCTTCCGTCTGAGATTATTGGAAGACAGTAATATCCAACCCTGTTCAGCAGATAAGACTGTTACTTAGGAGAAGATTGGTCTAAAAATATGTTCTATGTTTGCCACAGGATGTAGCGTGTCACTAGCACTCAGCGAATGAGCATGACAGTACAGAAAAAAAATAAAGGAGCAACCTCAGGCACTGCATGCGCTAACCAACCTACTACCCTCCTCCTCTGTCTGGAGTGCCAGCGTGCCAGTGAGACCGGACAGCACGCCACTCACAGGGGCCGAGGTCTTCTGTGAACCCAGCAAGGGGCCTGAGGTGGGCTGGCCTGAATCTCTCACTGCATGCGTCCATGCAGAGTCCTGAGCCCTGCAGGATCCCGACCGGCAAGGAGTGGCAGAGAAAACAGTGACAACAAAGCAAACAAACACCAGGCCCTGCCCCTCAGTGCAGGGAAAACATATACTTCACACAAAGAAAACCAAAAGCAGGATGTGATCAAGTGCCCCAGATGCACAGGTTAAATGCTAAGGGGGGAGGGGGAGGGGTGACAGAGGCTGGGAAAGGCAGTGGGTAGAGAAGCAACACTTTGGGATCAGGAAGATCAAAGAAGAAGCACTGAGCGAGGTAAAGAGCTGATGAAGGGAAAGGCAGCCCAGCGCCCCGAAGAGACAGGGATTGGGGAGAACAAGGAACACCCAACCCTGGTCTTCAAGCACAAGGAACTTAGCTAGAAAAGTAAAACATGAGCCTTGCTGGGTGGAAACATGCAGCAGAATATGATCAAATGCCTCCAAAGGCACAGATTAAGTGAGAATCACGTGGTGCCAGACCATAAAGAGAAAGCTGTACTAAGCCGGGCTGAGAGGGGCCTAATGCACCCTTGTAGCTGACTCACGGGAGAAATTCAAAAGGAGGGGGAAGCAGAGGCTGAGCCCGAAAAGGAGATCCCACTGTTTAATTTCAGTGAAATGTTACAGAGAAGCAGGAGTCCTACGGAGAGTGTGGTGTGTGACTGTGTCGGCCCGTGCCGGCTCTGGATGTCAGCCGTTCCCACACGGTTGGCCGAAGGTCCTGGGACTCCCTAGACAACATAAAAGCAAGAAGGCAGTGGAGGGCACTGGCCTCTCCTTGAGTCTGGGCTTGTGGGATGTGCCGGCGGGATGGGCAGCGCCCAGGAGGACCTGGGAACAAGAGGTGTTACTGCGCCATTTGCAGGGACAGGTGGTGTGGAGAAACAGCTCACCTCCACCCACCGCGAGGACCCTGTGGCGTGGAGCCGGCACTGGCCAGTGCAGGCCAGGTAGGGAAGGAAGGCCACTCTGCCTCTCCACTTCATGTAGTCACTTGGTCAAAATTGCCTCCTGGGAAGCTCATGCCCTCTGTCTCTCCTTTCCTCCAGGTTCCTTTTCATTGTCACCACTGGCTGCCCACACTGAAACCAAGCACTCGAGCACAGCTCCAGCTGAGCCATCGTGACCCAATCTTCCTCTCTTCCCTCCTCTCCCAGACCTCTCCTGCCATTTCCACCACTGACCACCACTTCCTTTTCTACCAGTCCTCTCCCCTCAGACTCACACTAACAACTGTTTCTTGACCACACACCCACATAGTCTCTGGCCTCCTCGTCCTTTCTCTCACAATTATCAGCACTTGTGGCTTTCTGGCTCTAGCCTGCTCCCAGCTTCCCCAATTTCCTCTGCAGCTGCATTTCTAGCTCGATCCCTTCAATAGCCTCCTGGTGATACCCTACCCACCAGGGCCTCATCTTCCCGCTACACTTGCCCCGTGCTCAAGCTAAGATGATAAGAAATCTCCAGGTCCCACCCCTGTATTCAACAGTGAGGGAGGGAAATGCAACAATGCAGGCCGCTTCGTGTATCACCATCCCTGCAGATGGGGTCCACAGGGTTACTTCTCTTCCTCTAACTCCAGCGCAGGGCTACCCTGAACTTCTCTCTCAAGCACAGTAGTATTTCACCACGAATAACCTCAACATGCACCCCACTCACAGCTTCACTCTTAGCCATCATGGAGCCTTCTTGCTGGGCTTGGAACTTTCCTTCCTTTTCCTTCATCTTCTGGCCTCTGTCTGCAAGTGTGGGATGGTAGGGTTCGGGAGTACACGTGTGAACGCATGTGCACGTGTGAAGTGGTAGGGTTCGGCACATGTGTGTGAGTGCACGTGCATGTGTGAAATCAGCTTCTCCTCTATTACTCTGCTCCATTGGAGGCTCACTGATGGCCCCCACAGTGGTAAGACAGGAACCATGTTTGGGCCCCTGTGTGACGAGGACCAGTTCTCAAAGCAAACACTGAAACACAGATGTGATGATGGACAGAGCACTGACTTTTGGACATGCCTCCAGAGAAGTCCATGGCAGGCTGAAGACAATCTAAAACTGACTTGTCTTTCACTCTCCCCTGGACTTTAGCCACAACCAGCGGCAGCACAGACCCAGTCATCTCTTCAACAAGACCCTGACACCCACGTATTGGTCCACTGTGTTACCATGTGCAGGGCAGTCCTACCCTATCAGTAACAGCCTACGTTAGGCACAACCTGCCTTTCTGTATTATTTTTAATGTGCAGAGGAAAGGATTTGGGGCATAGAGGCTGAGGTCTGACTGCCTGACCTCTGACTCCCCGCCAGGTTCACGCACAGTGGCAGTGTAGGTTTCTGATTCTCACCACGCAGGACCCTTGACAATGAACTCTTTGAAACCCTGCTCTCTTATTTCATCACTGACACTGATCTTCAAGCAAATGTCACTCCGTGTCTCTCTTCCTCTTTATGCCCAAGGCCTCAGGGTCAGCGCTTCCTGAGGTTAGCAGGCAACAGAGTGTTATCTCAAGGGGGATTTTGACACAGGGATCAATGTCATTGCTTTCTTATAAAGGAGGGCTGTGCATGGCAAGATCAAGCCAGAGGAGGAAATAGGTGGCCTCATTCTCAAGGCTAGTGCCTTTTCAGGAACCAAGCACTCGGTGCCCGAAGATGCAGCCTAAGAAAAGGGGGACACTTAGCTGGGATCCTGTCTGCATGGGGAAAAACAGTGCACACTGTGTTGCGTAGTTTTCACTAGAACTTCAAGCTCATTCGTGATAGAAATGTTTTCCATCTCTTCTTTACTGTTTCACCCAAAGCTGAATCAGAAAATGGAAAGACATGCTCTCAGAGGTGAAAGTTTATGGGACGATGAGACATTTACTATGGAGTTGGGACTCTTGGAATTGTGGAAGAAAGTGCCACAGTCTCTATGGTTGTGGACAAGAAAACCATAGCCAACCTAACTTTCATAGGGTAGGCTGAGGGCACAGCTCAGTGATAAGATGCTTGCTTAGAACAAGGGTTAGAGTTGACTGTTTAGAACTGGAAAAAAAAAAAAAGAGAAGGATGAGGGAGGAAGAAGAGAGAGGGGGAAAAGAGAAGAGAAGAGAAAGGAAAAGAGAAATGTAGCTATTCAGCAGGCTGAGATCTGGAGGATTGTAGTTTGAAGCCAGTGTGGGCAGAAAAGTCTGAGAGACCACATCTTAAAAAAAAAAGCCAATCTATAAAGGCTTGGCTCAAGTGATAGAATAGCAAGCCAGCCAGGTAAGCGGCCATGGCAAGCAAGGCACTCGAGTTAAACACTGGTACATTAAGCAACAACAACAAAACCCTATTTTTTAAGCAACTGAGGCTCTGGGTGTGAACTTTGGGGCAAGAATACAGGAGGAGAACCACGTCTCTGCCGTCAGTCTTCACGAGCAGCTGAGGGGCGGGAAGGCTGGGGAGCATGGGCAATGTAGAACCCCAAGGCGAGTCATTCCATAAGTAAACTGGACGGACGGGAACTGTGCTGAGGATGGTGAGAACCGAGAATGAGAGCTGCGTTCACCTCCCTCTCACTGCTGCCCATCTCCCTGCCACACCTTCAAACAAACCCAAAGCAAGCGGGAGCCTGGGGCCGGGCCCACCTTGTCTTTTGTGGACACCAGCAGCTCTTTTGTGAAGTCGACTGCATGCAGAGCAGCCACGGATCCACTAAAGATGCTGTCATGTGCCCACTGGGGGCCTCAAAACTAAGTTTTACAGGCGCACCACTGGTTCCCATATTTTCCCTTATTCTGGGAGAAAAAAGTACTCAATTTGATAGCCTTCTTCTAAATTTGTTTGTTTAAAAGGGACTCCATTAAAGTTGCTGTTTAACCTAAAAAGCCAACAGAATTAAGAACTTGTTCTGTTTTAAAAAAAATTGTTTGGAGTTTGTTTTTTCTTGTGAGGCAAAGTCTCCCTATAAAGCCCAAGCTGGCCTCAAACATGGCAAATCGCTTGTCTCTGCCTCCCAGGTGCTGGGATTACAGGCATGTGTCACCATACCTTGCTTGTTACTAAACTCTTATGATTGGCAGGGTTGCCAATAGTTACCTGCCACTAGGCCAAATGCTGGCACAACATGAGAAACTAGCCAGAGTGTCAAGTACAAGCAATGCCAACACATGGTAAACCCCCTGTGCTCCAATACGGTAAGAGCTGCAACTGGATTCACTAGGAAACATAAAATAAACTCACCTTGAAAATTTACTGGGACCTTCACCGTCTTCATCATCAAAGTCCATTCTGAAAAGTCAATGTCACAATTGAGCACTGGTCACAGGGTTAAAGAACAGGTGGCGACATGAGCTGCAGGCACAGTGCCAGCTTCCTCCCATCAGACTGAGATCTGATGCCCCCAGCCTCGGCAAGTGCTGGAAATCCGCATCTCAACACGGTCGTCAAGCAGTCTCAAGACAGAAGGAAGCATAATGAAAGGTCTTCATTGTGCACACCACGATTCCCATTGTTGGCAATGCTGGAGTACCAGCTTCTCCCCCAATGCCAATGGCTCACGCAGGTTGTTCTGGGAATACCAAAGTCCTTGGGGTTACTTGCTTCCCTCCATTTCATTTATTTCACACTGTGTGAGTAGCTCATTGTGAGACTATAGAATGCTGGGCTTCATGGAAAGACCCTACTGCAAACATCAACAACCAAGAGTGGAGTGTCTGCTGAAGGTGGGGAGCTGCTGGCTTCACAGGGAGACTCCCCTAGACTCTTGGGGCTGGGTTTTAGTGACCTGATGAAGGCACAGGACTCCAGGCAACCAGGGAATAGCCAGGTTGTAGAGGAAGAGCCATCTTTGTGTAAGCATGCCCACGTGGAGCCCCGAGGAGCCAAATCATACTCCCAGGCATCAGAGAGACTTAAGACTGTGATCAGATAGAGCAAAGGAGTGTTTTTCCCCCTCCATCCCTCCCTTCTTTCCTCCCTTCCATATTTATTCTCTCCATCCTTCTCTCTCTCCCTCTTTAAATACTATCTAGTATGAATTTGTCTACTTTTATGTTTTATCATACAGCCAGAATCTGAATCTAGGCATTATTCAGTTCAAGATCACCTGATGGGGTCCCCTGCCAATTTGGAATTGCTGGTTCTAATACGTAAGTTGTCCTGACTGATAAGACTAAAAGAAGAAGGCAGTTAGATCATTGGAAAGTGGATAGTACCAGAGGGCAAAAATGACTCTGCACAAAGAGAAGAGGAGGTGGGAAAGAACAGCTTGCCGACCACTACCTACTACTAGGGGAGACAGACATGTACCCACCCTGTGCAAATCCTTCTTCGAATTCAGACACTAGGCCATGGGTGGCAGTTGTCTAAGTTGTGGGCAAAGTGGAAGCACAACGCATGAGCTGTGAAGAGAGGCAACTGCACCCACATTCTGCACGTGGTCCAAGCCAGCACCTCACTTTGCTGAAATTGCCTGGGGGACATAAACATCCAAACTCCTAACCCAGCCCCGCCCGCACCTTGCGGATATGTAGAACCACACTGCCACCCAGTGGTCTTAGTGGGGAAGAGCAAGTGTGTTGTTGGCATCAAAACCATTTCAGTGTCAGAAAGAGCACTTAGAGAATTTCATAAAACCCATTCAAGTAACCCTTAAGTGGATAGGAAATGTAGAATTATTTTTAAAATTCCATTCAGCTCAAATTGATATTATGACCGTGAAGCTCCTGTAGGTTACAAAGTATTGGTCATCCATCCTTCCCTAACCACGGGCCTTCGGGTATAGGGTGTATAGGGTGACATCTATCTTGATTTTCACAGGACCATGGAGATTGCTAGGATCCAGGACTTTAGTGCTTTAACTAGGAGAACTTCAAGAGGATCAAGATGGCTTGCCATTGTCATTTTAGCAAAGACAGTTGTATTCTTTACTGGCTCTCGCACTGAAGACACATGAAATGAGCTGGCCTCATCAGGCCAAGTGCAGGTTTAAGAGTTTTCAGAAGCCCAGTGGAAATTTGGCAACTATGATTTGTTAGAAGAATTAGGAACCAAGGGACTGTGCCTCTCACCTGTGTGTGTTTACAATAATAATGTGCAGCAATCAGACTAGATAATTTGGAAAAGCATAAAGTGGGGACAACCCAGAAGGTAAATCCGGAACCTAAATAATTGTTAAAATCCTCAGGGTAGTTCCACCCACTCCAAGACAGTGTCACTGACTTGTTGGCAACACACACACACACACACACACACACACACACGAAGCTCCTGAGAACAAAAGTGGCTTTGCAGAGTGCCACTTACCAAGATGCTCACTGAACTGGGTCTTCTGTCACCATGTGCACCTCTCAACTTTAAATGTGCCTACAATAAACTGTGCTTAATTCTCCTGCTATAAAAAGCCTAAGTAAATTATCCTGTGTTTTATGTCTTTTATGTCTTTCTATTATCCTGAAGCAGCTGGATGATAAAAGAGAAACCAAAATATGACTTTAAATCCTAAGTTTTCGCTTTAAAGAATCTAGTGCAATAAAGTAGATAGTAGAAGTCTTCAAAAAATGAACTTAAATTCAAATTGATCTCAGTTCCTGTCAATGAGCCTGACTTCTTATTTTCATAAAAGCCAGGCCAGGGATTTCTGCAGTTAATGAAGAGTATACAGCATGGCTCTCCCCTTGGTTGTATCATGATAAGGATATGTTGTCAGATAATAGTTACCAAGCAGAATTCTCTGGTGCTAACATTAAAGTTAACAAAAGGAAAGAGGAAAAAAGAGGAAGAGGACTGAGCGTAACAGCAGCAGAGGAGTGATCCCACGGTGTTTGAAACACTCTCTTCAGAGCCTAGGCCACCTGCCAGGATTCTAGCAGTACTGGGACATCCATGTTAACAACGGACACACCTGCTTACAGAGCTACACATTTAATATGATCAAATCCAAGCATCCCACATCCAATTATGTCACTGGGAGAGCCTCGTATATTGCCTGTGTACAATGGGAACGCATTTTCCCCTCAGTGATGACTGTCTAGAAGCTCAGCACTAGTTCCGAGGCAGTGACAACCTCCTCTCTTTATCTCCAAAAAGGGCTGCCTGGCCTAAGATCAGAAGCAGTGCGTTGGCTGTTATTGGAGACTCCCCATTGCCTCTCCCCCCACTGCCCCTCCTGCTCCCGAGACCACAGAGCTCATCACACAAATGCATTTCTGGTGACTTGCATATGTGAAGCAATTCTGGGAAGAATCTGAAACTTCTGAACCTTCACCTTGTCTCCCAATTGCCAGGAGAGCCCAGTGCTGGTAGACACAGTTATAGAGAAAGGTTGTTAGCAGTACAGGAAGTCCAGCCAGGAGGGATGTGCTGGGTCTGGCACATTGCCTGAGGCCAGCAGGACCTGAAATCTATGAGGGGCTAGTTCTATCTGGCTTTGAAACAGTGGAATAGGGAGGGCGACCACCCTAAAATTCGGAGACACTTCTTCCGTGAGAATGATCAGGTCAGAGATCTAGCAATAAACTTGGGGATAAAGATGGGGAAGTCCATGCCCACACCACTCTTCTCACACCCCAGCCCCCTTCCTCTTTTCCAACTCTCTGCATCTCTCCAAGTGTGTCCTCCCATCTCAGACATGAAGCACTGGACCACATCTTGTCAATGACAGGGAAGGCAGTGGTCAGTATAGGCCACTGCATAGGGCCATAGTTAGGGTTATCTGCTTTTTTACTACCGTGACTCCACCAGGATCTCCTTGACCCTGGGCTAAGTGTTTAGGCAGCCATTGAGAGCTGTCATCAAGAGATTCTAAAGCGGTGGTGGCTTCCATTACAATTTCAACCATGTAAGTGTCAGATGTGTTACTATGGCCACAGCTCTGCAAAAAGATTCTTTTTATTAAATATATATTTCTTCAGGAACCTGAAGAAATATTTCATTTACAGTTAAGAACAGCAAAAACAAAAGAGAAAGTTTTATTAAAGCTTAAGGTCTAACTTGAAAAAAAGAATAATTCTGAATCAGATATGAGGTTATAAATAAAATATTTCAAGAATAAAACATTAGAATAGCAAAGGAGCTATTTTAGTGATTAGCAAAATTATATTACTTATAATAATTTTATTTCCTGTTGCCTTCTAACAGTTACAGACAAAATGTTTTTGTTTTTGTGTTTTGCTTTGTATTAGTTTTTATTTTTGTTCATAAAGTTTTTGTCATTTGTTTACAAACTGCCCCTCACTCTGGACTTTCTTTCATGGTTGTATTGATGATTCTTTAATTTTTTTTATTATCTTTCAGTGGTAGACAAAATGTTGTTTAAAATGTTTTAGTAACAAGAAATTGTCACCAGTATGTTTAGAAAATATTGACCTAGATATAGCAATGTACTAAAGTACCCTAAGTCACAGAGGCTTAGCAAATAGAATCTTGGTTTGATCACTTTGACAGGGAGATGGGAGCAGACATAGACCCAGGAATGCAGACAGGCTTTCTCAGGAAAGCTCACCTATTGTTCTGCTTTCAGGGACCATACTTCATCCTCACATTTGGTAGGGTGACAGGTTGCTGCCCACCCCTTTTTTCTCTTGTATTATCACAGAGAGGGAGAGAGCAGAGAGGGAGAGGGAGTGGGAGAGGGAGAGGGAGAGGGAGGGAGGGAAGGAAGGAAGGAAGGAAGGAAGGAAGGAAGGAAGGAAGGAAGGAAGGAAAGAAGGGAGGGAGAGAGGGAGGGAGGGAGAGTGGGGGTGTCTCCTTGATATAGAGAAATTTCCTGGCTAAAAATGATTGACCATTTAAAAATAGATATAGCCCCTAAGTCTTAAATTGTGAAGAATGTGTTCTGCTATATAACTGGACAGTTGTGTCCCAAGAGTTATGAGTTGATCAAAAATTGCACTGAAAGAACAAACTGATTTGACTTCACGAGTCTTGCTTATCAAGTATTTTGTTGACAATAAAATGGGTTTAGTGAGGGAAAGGGGTTGAATGATATAATGAGTCTAAAAATGTCAGTTATGTTTTTTCCTATAGGACTTTTCTTGTTTGATTTGGGTTTACATTCTGTCTATAGAGGCAAAAATTAACAATGAATATATGCAGTTTTTGTTTCAACAGTGACAGTGGCCTTATCAAAACCATTACAATCAATAGCACTCATTATTGTTATCAATTTTATTAACTGAGCAGCATCTAATGTAAGCTGGCTGGCTTTAAGGTCCTAGGCCTACACTTGAATTTATTTTTTTATTTTTGGTCAGTCGTGGGGCTTGAACTGTGGGCCTGGACACTGTTCCTGCGCTCTTCAGCTCAAGGGGAGCACTCTACCTCCTGAGCCACAGCGCCACTTCCGGTTTTATAGTGGTTTTATTGGAGATAGGAGTCTCATGGTCTTTCAAACTTCCCTGGCTGGCTTTGAACCTCGATCCTCAGATCTCAGCCTTCTGAGTAGCTAAGATTACAGGCATGAGCCACCGGCACTCAGCTTGAACTTTTTTTTAATGTTTTCATTTCAACCTGCCTAGTCAGGATATTTTTTGATTATCTTTAAGTAGCAGTACAAAGTGGTTTCAATTCAGCATGTTATCTGTGTGTGGGTGTGTGCGCATGACTATCCTGTGGCTTGAACTTAGGGCCCTTGGCACTGTCTCTGAGCTTTTTTACTCACGGTTGGTTCTCTATCATTTGAGCAACAGCTCCACTCCGGGTTTCCTGATGGTATATTGAGTAGCAAGGAATACAGGCATGAGCCACCAGCACCCAGGCTTAACATGTTAATTTATAAGTGCAATGCAGCTTGCATTTCTATCTAGGAAAGAGGAAAGGGAGAGGGCCCCGGGGTAGATCCTTTGCAATCACGTGGCTGGAGCTCAGCTGCCAAACACTCGGGCAGGTTATGAATGACCTCTTCCCCCTGAGAGCTGGTCTGCCTGCACACTCCCACCGGATTCCCAGCTAGGTGGCAGAGCGAAGCAACACATGCTCATATATAGGAATCTTGCAAAATCTAAACAGGATGCAAACTTTTGAGCTTTTACTCTGGGAGGTGGGGGAACACAATACTTTCTTATAGGTCAAGAGCATTGCTCATCATTTTCTGGACTCCGGTTCCTGGAGGCCCTGAGGATGCTTACCCGGAACGCCGCTTTCCTCCGCGAGCAGGCATGGCCCCTGCCATCCTCACCTGTCCAGTGGCCGCCATGGAGGCAACAGGCAAGGTCACCGATCCAGGTATGTCTGAGGCCATTTCTGGAATGCAGCAAAGACAAACGGTTTTGTCAATGCCAGAAAAATCCAATAACAAAGGCAGCTGTTGTGTGGTCCCAGTGTGTGGCCCCAGTGTCCTAGCCAAGGTGGGGAGCCCAAGGGTCTGGTGTGCTGCTGCCTGGCCGATCGCTACACACATTGTCTGGTGAGTTTATCATCCTACCCTGGACCCCTTCTCTGGAAAATGAGGCCTTGGGACAGTACTCCCAAACTCTGTGCTCAAACCAGTGTTAAAAAGAATCACTGTAGTTTCGCAGCTTCTGTAACTGGCTTCTGGTCACCTGCAGGCAGGTGGGAGGTCCAAGAATTTGGCTGCCTGAGAACCTGGGAGGGTCAGCGGCACCTGAGGTTCAGCCACCGGTACCTACGCGTCAGCACCTTGTGGTAGTGCCTACAGATGTTCCGCCCTTGCCTTGGTTTTTATATTCAGGCAGAAAGGCTGGTTCCTACCTTAGTGTAGACCTCTGAAAGGCAGAACTCTGTGCGGCTCCTTCACGCACAATGAGGAGAGCAGAACTGGGGGCCTTGAAAGCACCGGATGGTCAGGGTGTATGGCAACCTGTGACTACACCAGGCTGGGTACCCAGCAGTCCCGAACCAGGCCTCTCCAGGGTAGATATCAAACAAGACAGACAGACAGAGCCATGTACCATGGTTCACACATCAGTATTAGGGCATTAACTCAAGGCTTCTCCCTTGGCTTTTCTGCTTACAGATGGTGTTTCACCACTTCAGCTATATGTGTAGTTCCTGCTTTTTGCTGGCTAATGCAAGCTAAGAATCTCTAGGATTTGTCTGCTACAGATATCAGCCTCCTGAACAGCTAGTATTAGAAGCAAGAGCCACTGCCTCCTATATTGTTTACTATTATGGCTTACAAGCCAGACACCTCTGGAAGCTCTTTTTTTTTTTTTTGGTTGGTTGTGGAGCCTGAACTCTGGGCCTGGGCGCTGCCCCTCAGCTCTTCAGGTCAAGGCTAGCGCTCTACCACTTGAACCACAGCGCCACTTCCGGCTTTTTCTGCTTCTGTGGTGCTGAGGAATCGAACCCAGGGCCTCACGCATGCGAGGCAGGCACTCTACCTCTGTTCCACTTTCCCAGCCCCTGGAAGCTCTTTAAGACCATATTAAGCACCTCTGATCTCAAAGCCAGTTTCTGGAGAGTTCCTGAACTCTCAAACCACTCATGGCACGATGCCTACCTCAAAGAGCGTCTCTGATTTTGTTTGTTGTTCTGGGGGACAGCTTCCACAATGTGTGTTTTCCTTAGCTCAGTTCTTATTGGGAGTCAAAGGGAAGTACCAACGGGAGTAGTGCTGCTGAATAACGCTGGCAGCACATGCTGGCATGGGCGACAGTTGTTTCCTTCCGGCAGAAACTGGGAAAACACCATATCTGTTCCACAGCTACATCCAGGGACACGATGTTTAGTAAACACATGCAAAGTTCAACCAGAATTATCCCTCCCAAAAGTACTGTTGAAGAGGAATGTTACAATACTAATAAGCAAAGACTTAATTTGGCCACTCGTCTAAGCCCCAGATTTTGAGGACTCTGAGAGCTACATTTCATTTCTTAACCAGTACACACTGAAAAGTTCTCAAAGAAAAAATATTCCGGGCTGGGCAGGTGGCTCAGTGGTAGAGCACTTGCCTGGCATACCTGAGGCCCTGGGTTCAATTCCTGAGCACCCCATAAGCAGAAAGAAAAAAGCCAGAAGTGGCGCTGTGGCTCAAGTGGTAGAGTGCTAGCCTTGAGCTGAAGAGCTGAGGGACAGCGCCCAGGCCCAGAGTTC